GATGTGTTTTAGTTAGCAGGTAATCCATAATTGTAAAAGCTGTCAAAATATATTCAGAAAAATGATATGCCTCTCTCGGGCATAAGATTTGTATTGATAAAAAATGAAAAATAGGCATCAGTAAGAACTCTCGTACTCGCCTCTCACCTCAACCTTGCGCTGACTGTCCTCTTGTGTAGATACCGACCTCCCCTACTTCCATTTATACTTTCCAGAATTCAGCTAGAAAATGGAATTTGGTATATTGAAGACGTCCATAATGAATCTGAAGCGACGTATACCACAGCTGACAGATTTCAATAAGTCTCGCTAAATTACAATAGCCAGCAGATGAGAAGGTATCTGGTGCTTTATCATTAATTCATCATCTCTTTGTTACTCACCCAAGAATTACGCAGAGAGATCCAGATAATTTTTCTTATATGATGAATGACTATACTTCATTTTGTTTATCTTTGATTGTCCATTGGGGTACAAGAGAACGACCCATCCTTGTGAATAATTGCGAAATGCGCAATTCAGTGCAATGTATTCAGTAGTATCTAACGACTAAATTGTTACATTAAGATACACGCTTACCAATGATTTTTCATTTCTTCTGAATACTACTTCATGAAGATTGCTATCTATCATATTATTACTCAAGAACATGTCCATCGGTTTTAAATACACCATTGACCAGATATCAGTTCCACATAAAAAACACATTACCGTAATTAAGATATAGTAGCAATCTAAACAAATCTATCTCTGCCCCCCCCCCTCTCGCTCTGTGCTAAATCCTGATAATGGGTTACTATCAAGATCCCACAAGCCATGGCGTTTCTATGAACAGCAGAGCAAATGCACGTTTGCTTGTTTCAGCTCAAGCAACTACAAGTTAGTGGTTTGAAGGAGGGAAATAAATTTACGTCCTATAAGGATGTTGTATAATATCTGGTATCTTAATGTTTTCATGCTGATTCTGAGGGAGTGGGTATATTATGTTGCGCTCTACTTTTCTATGTCATATCTATAATTTCTGTTCTCTCGTTTGCCAATTCATGTGTAATTACTGTGTATGCGTAAGTGCTTATATATTATCTTGATGAGTTTATGAAATAAGTTCCTGTTATATGAAATGTATAAGATACCGTTGACTTTGAAGAGTATTTTTCATACACGAATTCCTGGAATTATTTGATAACTTAAATGGCATTATAGCTGCACATTTCTTTACAAATATAAACGTTTCTTTCTATAAGCATCTACGTATGGCAGCTGAATGATATAGAAATGTGCAAATTCACTGATGTTTGCAACTTTTCGTTATCCTACCTTAACTATCTAAAAGAAGCTAGTAGAACAAATGAAGTAATTTAATTTTCTTTCGTCGAAGCCAGACACCGATTCAGAAGAATGAAAAAAAAAACTTTAATTTTTTTTATCACAAAACATTCACGTAATGCAAAAGGAATACAGTGAATATATATGTGTTTTATCATTGTGAGTGTGTGTGCGAGTTCAGGAAGTAAAGATGACCATTTTTAATGCAGCTGTTTCTCATTTCCGTTATTTGACTACTAGTATCCGTACTGCAAGTTTAGGATTATTCGCCTTACATTTCGAACATTAGGAACCACGTTCAGCGATAAATGATACAAAATGTATTTGATAACCGACATACTTTTTCCTTGTATGAACTGACCAAATGATGAAAAGCTCATCAATTTTGAAGATAATTAGTTGCATTTTCACCATTAAAGAAAATCAGTATTATGTGGATAAGGACAAATATTAGGAAAAAATCATACCAACTAGAACAATTCGTTTTTATTAAAACCTTGCCCAACCTCTATTACTTTCTATAACTAAACGTAGTCTTTCCGGGACAGAAGCGACGTGCTTATAGATTACTTCCGGTTTCCTCCGCAACATCTCACATTCCCTCTTTGCATGTTCTATTAACTGTTGAGAGATTCTTTCATTGGCCGTTTCCCAGATATTAACAATATTTGCCTAGATATTTTCTATGGGGTTCAGGTCACATGCCTAGCTTGGCCAGGGTAAGACCTCCAGGTGGTTTTGGTCTCGGAACCATCTCGTAACTACCCTCGAAGTGTGTATGGGGCAGGTATCCTGCATGCCAATGATCGTTTCTTGGATCGACAAAGCATAGCTCCGTACTGACGGGAGAAACACTTCTTCCAACAATTCTATATATTTCTCGGAATTGAATCTTCCGTCTATTTCTGCAAGCTCGCCAACTCCATGCAGGAAGATCCCCACATATTACATGTCACGTGGCCACTTCTCGTAGTTTCATAGATATTTTTGTCAATCATATCTGGAAATTATAGGGATATTAGAAAATTGAATATAATGGCATATGGCAATAATCTGTAGACTGATCTTTTTCATACATCGTAATACAATAAAATGCAAGGTGTAAAAGGTTATACTTACAAACCTTGTGGTATCTCTCCTTTCTACCAATTTGTCAGTTCATACAACGAAAAGT